GGACGGGGGCAACGTACCCGGTCGTGCTGCAAGCGCGTTGAGGACGTCTCTTGTAAAACTCCTCTTCGTCCACCGTCCATACGGCGCCTTTCACGTTTTCGACTCGCGTGAAACATTTGTGGAGAGACAGGTTGTGTCGCACTGCGTTCTATACAAAATAATACACAGACTAAATAAGCAACGCAAAAAACGAACGAAGCCAACTCAATCGCGAGGCCGGCTGTCGATTCGGGGAAACACGTATTCGATGGCGTGTACTTTTTCTGTTTTTTTTTTTTTTTTTTTTTGGTTTTCTCTTTTGTTCTCTTTTCTTTTTTTGCTTTTTTTTTCGTACAGGTGATTTTACAATTCCGTCACCCACGACGTCAGATGACGACGGACGACGACTCACGGCGACGAAAGGTTGATGATGACGATGACGGACGGTGATAAGACCGATACACGTTGAGATGAGACGAGGATGGATGAAACTCTGTCTGTCTCGGAGAACCGTCGTGAGGGGTTATAAGGTGGTATTTGCTTCGCTTTTGATATCGTTCTTTCTGGTTTCAATTGCTCTTTTTTTTGTTTTTTTTTGTTTTTGGACAAGCTGTATTTTGTGTTTTATCTTGTGAAGGAATATGTCTATTGTCCAGGCTGCCACTTCGGTCGATTCTAATTGAGAGATACGATAGGACAGCGGCATCTGCAGAGAAATTACAAACAAAGTGGCAACCTGCGGTTTTTCTCGACTGTCTCTAATCTGAATCGAAGTAAAAGAAAAAGTCGACAAAAAGATATATATAGGAAAGCTCGAGAAACTGAATTTGAAGAGTGAATTAGTAGTAACGTCGTGTGTGAGCAGCAAAAGGATACCCGGCGATGGTCGCGCAAATGACAAGGCCGTAATAGGACAAATAACGAACCAAAACGATTAATCGAAAGATACACGGTATATAACGTGGCATTCCTTTTATCGTTAATGCACAGCTAGTCATCTAATTCTAGGGGCAACGACAACAATCATACATGCCGCAGGGCCGTACAAAATTCCAAAAGAAGAGTTAAAAATAAAGAAAAAATAAAAAAAAAATGAAAAAAGGAACTGAATAATTGGAGAAAAAAAATGAAAAGAATTTCAGGAAGATTGTACGAGAAGGTCGCGTTTCGTTGGTCAAGACCTCCATTCACGTCGAGACGGCGGAAGTCCTCCTTGGGTTGGTTGTCTGGCTGCTCCTCTCTCGACGGCGGTTGCCCCTTCTGTCGAACCTGTGGTTGCTTTGAAAATTTTCAGATACACATAACCATGCGAGGCGAAGCGTCATGGCAAACGTCGATTACTTCCACGCTCACTCGCACACACACGCAGAAAACACACGCGCGCGCGCACTCTTGCCAACAAGCGGATTTATTTTCATTTTTTTTCTTCTGTGGTCGCTTATTACAATTCCATTGTGATCCATTTGCAGATAATTTCAATTTACAAGAAAAAATGTCTATTTTTCGTGATATCGTTGGAAAATTCAATTTGACGTAGTACCGAGGCTGCTAATAATAAAAAAAAGTTTAAGGACGACACGTGATAAGAAAGAAGAAATCATCGTGATGGATCAGAAATGAACCGTAACACGGTGTAATATATCACATGTTACCGAGACCTCCCCTTAAATTGGGAAAGCAACACAATTATCGTTACCAGCTCGTCTGCTCGGCACATCACTTAGCCTGTTAATTCAAATTAATACGTAAGATTATCTGAGATTCTTGAAAGCTCATCCTTTCTAGTTAAAACGCATTCAGCTTAATCTGCTCGTAAATGCAAATTGCACGACCAGTCATTTCGTCTTTGTGACTTGCAATCAAATGTTGCATAACTCAAGCCACCGTTGAGTTCATCCATTTAGAGGAGAGAATTATTTTAGACTTCCTAGGATGCATGGTAAACCCGGGCGACGAATTTTTCGTTACAACCAATGGGCACTCGAAACGAATTACTCTCAATAGAATTATTTCAAGGAAAAGATGCTGCGCGATCCTTCGCGATTTTCTTTTTCTTCTGAAACGACGACGATCTCTTTTATCTCGCGCGAACGATTTCAATTGTAGCGTGATCCTTTTTAACGTTCGAATAGCAAAGAATTTGATAAGAAGAAGAAGAAGAAACTGTCGTTTGGTGAAAGAAACAATTGAAGTATATACTCAAGTTGATATATTTTTGTTCGAATGAAATTTTGAGACTGTCGTACCGTTTTGATATTTTTTTTTTTCTTTCATTACTTTCTCCGTTGATTCGTCACGCTAAACGCATTTTTACTTGTACTATAGTCAATAGATATACCTTCCACGTGGCCGCGTTTCGCCGGAAGAAGCAGAATGTGTTCTGGAACCAGTTGTAGATCTCGTTTAGCGTCAACTGTTTCTCCGGCGACTCGATGATCGACTGTGAAACAGAAAATCGCAGGGAAACTTTGAAACGAAAAACGGTCGATGGACGGGTGTGTGTATCGTAACTGGCGAGTAAAATTATATATCACCTCACCGGTACCATCTCGAGTGTTCCTTCGTAAATTAAATCGACTAAAAGGGACGCTCATATTGGAAAATTCATTTGCGTCTGAATGATTCAGAACGCTTTAAACGAACGTCTACATATCGAATGGATCACTCACCTGTCTGATTAATGATGCATACGTGAAGGGCGGTCTGACTTCGGCGTTCTTGTAAAATTCCCTATTTCGTTGAATCTCTGAAATATCAAGGAAGCTACGTTTGTTTTGTTTCATCGTAAAGTCATCGAAATTATATTGTTCTTTTTTTCATTTTGGTGAAAACGAAGAAGGGTTAAAACGCGATAGTGGTTCTTAGATGGGTAAAAGTTGGTCGACACCATCTCTTCTATTTAAATTCACGACTAAACAAGCAACGCATTCGAAAAGGTTCAAGCCCCGTTAACCAAAGAGAGATGGTTATTCGATAAAACTAAAAAGTTTATTGAAAAGAAAAGCAACAAATAAATTGTCTCCTGATTCCTGGATCACCAAATATTCCCCTCCCCCAAAAAAAATGAATTTCTATTCCGAAATGACAAATAAATCAATTTCTCGACGATATTTATATAAAGAAGGAAGAATCGGTATGCGTTTGATGGCATGCTAATAGGAACCGAATGGAAGCTAATGGTACGATGTACAATCTTAAAACTAGATGAGAGAGTAAGCAAGAAGCGATTGGATGTTTCAGGATAGACATAGATAGCAGATACTTCGTCTAATGAAGTATGTAGATCGCTACTTTACAGGGTGATAAAAAGAGGGAGTGGCAGAAATAGGGTGAAAAAGGAGGTGTGAAGTATATTTTTTTTTTTTCAAGCATGCAAGAGTGCACCCTTCAAGAAAATCCTTAAAGCCACCAAAGGAGCGTGGAAAGAAGGTTGTGACAGTACCTTGTTGGACGTCAAGGCCAGCACGCTCCAGCATGTAGGGCAGCCCTACACGGTGGGGAGGGCGGGCAGCACAAGAAATAAGGAAACAACAGAAGCATCGATAAGAAAGAGGTTTGAACCAGCGTACATTTAGAATAGATAAATTTTTTTTTTCTCTATTTACTTGTATAATTATTCTTTTTTTTTGTTTTCTTTTTTTTTTTTTTTTTTTATTTTTTGACGAGATCGAGCGGCTTTACGGGAGATATCATCGAGGGGAGTATCGAGCTGTTATTGGTGATATTTGCTACGGGATTTTCTTTTTGTCGGGGAGCATCTGACGAGGACGAGCCGGGAAATGCTCCTTTTGAAATCTCAATCGAAGCATAAATTCACGCTAGCTTTTTCTCATCGGTGAAATTATGATTAATTCAAGAATAATTTTGTTTGAAAGTCTCTAAGAAGAAAGAAATTGTTTCTTTTTTTTTTTTTTTTTCTTTTGTAACAACATTTCGCGGATCGCGCGTCACCCCGTTTGAATTTTGATTTAATCGTTACCTTCGCTAATATCTATTCCAGATCTATCGACGGCTACTCTGCGCCTTACAGTGCCCTCGTCATACAGTCCTACGAATAGTATTCAATTTCTGAATTCACATGTCTTTCGTTTCACCGTTCTCGAGACGATATATCTTTTTTTTTTTTTAATCCATTTCTCTCTTATCCTCATCTCGTATACTATAAAAATTCACATACTGGAAAATGGTTCTCCTAACAGAACATATCAGAAACAATTTCACTATCCTCCTTCTGCATGTAAAAAATACACATATAAATACACCAATTATCATTCTACTATTTTTTTTTTTTTAACCATTTTCCTCGGTGCAGGTAAAACGGAAGAACGCACAATTTCAACAATGTCAAACACGATTATTGTCTCGTTAAGTTTGCAACTATTGTTCACGGAAATATTTCCTGCCGGAGACTTTTATGTCAGCAACGATAAAAAATAAGTGAAACAGACAGAATAATAAATTTGAAAGAAAGATGGTGAGGGAATCTTACCTCCTGCTATGGATAGCGCGGATTTATCACTGATACGTCGTCTGATGGGCCCTGCCATGCTGGGCATGCTGCCCGGCATATTCGGCAACGGTGACATCCCAGACATGTTCGACATGTTTGGAATTGGTGGCATGGGTGCGCCACCAGCCGAAGGTGGCAGCTGTCCACCTGCCGGCGACCTGACCACCGAAACCAACGCGGACATCGAGACTGGTGACATTTGGGAGACGCCGAAGTTCGGTGGTGGCTGGTTCATCAGGCCAGTGGAGAGATTTAACTTTGATATACTCGAGCCCGTCTGAAAAGTAAGCGACGCGCTTGGAGAACACGCCTACGGCTGTTATTTGCACGGTTTTTCGGATCGTCGACCTTTTTCTCACGTCGAACCGCACGGGTCTGTGAAATTCCTCACCGCTATTGCCTTTTTCTCTCTTTCGTGCAAGTTCATTGGGATAATTGATTGGGCACACGCGTAACGTATTGAAATTGATTCTCAACGAGAAAATAATAAATTCTTCTCGTAGCATTGTTTAAAATATTATAGTGTCCTCCTCTTTAGAAGATTTTGAATTATTATCGTAGACTGAAATTTTCGTTGAAAATTGAGTGCAATTGTGTGAGATAAATGTAAAAAATTGCACGCTAATTGTAACAATTTTCGCCGTTTTGTGATACCGTCCTCCTTAGTATAGTTGTCCTAACTCGCTGTTGACGAGAAGACGATACGTTACACGGAGAACTTTTCTATCAACGAGTAAGTCACTCGGAACATGTTGATACGAAATATTTCACGGAGAAAACGGTCTCGATATCAGAGATGATCCGGACTTCTAGCAAAGGGTGGGGACTAGTCTCCTCCCTCTCGCGTTAAAATAATTAAGTCGGCCAGAGAGGACGAGACGGGCAGGCAGTCGCGCGGAGAGGGCTAATGCAATATTGGTATTCTCCGACTGTCGGACTTGTTAGAGGTTTTAATTAAGGCGATATAAAATCAACGAGGACCCGATGAATTATTAATGCAAACTTTATGTATAAATTAGCGAGTCTACTCGGCGGCGCGTTAAAACTGAAACTGGCGTTGTTGTTAGCCGCGGCGTAACGCTCGTAAAATTCTCCGAACCGCCGTGAAAATCTCGCTTTACGACTCTCCAACGTCTCTCCTCGTACCGAGAAGAGTTTACCATCTAGACACGATCGTTAGGAAACGTTTTCCCCGGATTTCAGGGTAACGTGACGTTACCTACGATTATTACCGTTCATATGGAACAAGAGTAAACTATACACGCGTCTGTATTTCGCGCTGACACGTTCTTTCTCCTCTGGTTAACTTCCGACCAGATGGATAGATCGGACAGTAGTGTAGAATGTATTAAAAAAAAATAGGACTCACCGATGACTCGGATGACTTAGGTGGTTCAGGGGAAGCCATTTGTTTCGCCACGTGCAGATGGTGCATCATGGCGGTTAACCGGTCCCGCTCCTTCTGCAACTGAATCTCCAGCTGCGAGACTACTTGCATCTGAACTCTTGCCTGCGCCGTCGATCGGTCGTCCAGCGTGTGCTCCGTGTTCAAGTGCCTGAAATATTCGTGAAAAATGGTATTCCACTTTTAGAGAAATACACAAAGAGGAAAATGGGATCGTCTAATCGGCGAGTTACCAATTCAGGCAAGTCCTCGCTGAAGCTTCTATTAGAGATAGCCTAGATAGTCTTACCGAGGAATCCTACAGGAGACCCAGGATGAAACACACTTTTCTTTCCACCTATCGTCTCCTTTCTCTCAATCTTCTACTATCTTCTATTCTCGACTAGCAAAGGAACTCTACTCGAAAACAAGCCCTCGCTGTCTCTCCAAGAGTACCTTCCCCGTTCCCAGCAGCAACGCTAATGAAATTATGTCGCGAATAATGTCGAGTCGTTTACGGGGAAATCAAAGCTCCGCCAGCCGAGTGCCACAAAGAGAGACGTTTGTCTCTCTGACCGTGGCGAATCTTACCCCGGCGGGACGTTGAAAAAAGAATCCGAGTTCCATGGGAGAGAAGGAAGGAGGGTGGTGCCAACGAGATTCCGTATTTAAGAATTTCCGTAATCCTTCTTCGTCGCTGGCGCTGTATCGCGAAGGGTGACCGAGGGGTGAAGGGACTGGTGGTTAAGACCAAGAATACGGGAAGAACAAGAGGAAGGGCATGGGGGAGTAGGAGGAGGAGGGAAGGGGATTAGACCGAGAGGTATAACGATGCGGTCGAATGTCGTGAATATTAATGAGACAAAGGTAATTAGCGTTTTCTTTTTTTTTTCTTTTCCTTTTTTAAGTAACGGCTTGTTTGAGGGAGTTTGCGGCGACGAGCCGCGTGATTACTAGGGATTTCCGGGACCCAGGGGAGGAAAGGGGAGGCCGGTGACTGCTTTGAAACCGATGGAGAAGGTGCTGGATGTCAATGAGATACGCTGACTCGAGCGATTTTTCTACACTTCCTGCCCAATCCCCCCTCGCAGTGTCTTCACTAACTCATCCCACCACCGACGAAATTGTCGACTTTATTCCTGCCCGTTTCTACTCTCCTTCTCTGCCCACCCTGCGAGACCGCTGTGCTGGGATTTACCTACTTTCAGATGGTACAGCCGAGATCCCAGATCGCTTTGCGGATCTGTCGTGATTTTACGTAGATTAAAAGCATCGAAATTTCGTCGTCGATGTTTGGTAGAGTTTGAAATGAAATCTGATCGAAATTGACGATGTGCCAGTGTTTATTCGTGAGTATTTCAATTGTTGGAAAAATAGCAGAGAAGAAGGTGTGTAAAAATAGAAGAAATTTGATTTCACGATTGATTTGGCATCATTGTTTTCTTTTTTCTTGTTTAAGTTAACTGATAAAATTGAGGACTCACTTAAGGAATGCTTGATAGTCTTCACAAATAACTTCACAGCCCGGCCACTTGCAGACCCCATGACCGTACAGGGGATGAGCCTTATCGTTGGAGGAAACGTCCAGCGGTTTCTCGTCCAGTGGAGTGGTTCCGTTCATCTCCGACCGCCGACTCGACACTGTCGAATTGAGAAGTCCTGCGATAGTCCGGAAACGAACGTCGCAATTTCCAAGTAAAACGCAAAAGACAGAGTAAAATACAGGGAAATATAGGGCGGAAGAGGAGGGAGTGAAAGAAGTGAACGAGAGCAGAAAGGGAAACTCGACTCTCGATCGTTGACAGGAGGAGAGAATTTCTGTTTACCATTGAGTCCAGCCCCGGATTTTGGAACGTTCGAGTTCTGGTGGGATTCCGGACCATCCGGTGTGTCCGATTTCCACATAGGCAGACCATCGCCAGGCTGGAGACCTGTTTCAAAATTTTACACACATCTTATTACAACAATAAGACAATGAAAATTATTTTCGTCTAATTTTTCATCTCAAGTTAGTTTCACGCGTGAACGTTCGAATGGAAAGCCCGCTGTGTCGTTTACCCAGCCCTGTCCCTATTATTCCACCCTTCCCTCTCGCTTTGTGTACGCGCGTCAGAAAGAAAAACATCGCCGGGACGAGATCCAACGCAACCGAAACACTTCTGCGTGGAAAGTTTCGTCCAGGGTGAAGTGGGAAATGAGAAAGTGCAGGGGTGGATTACTCAGGCCTCGCCCCGGTGGATTATTGTTTAAATCCGGGGGTTGCCTTCAACGTCAACTTACCTCGGAAATTATTCTCTGTCCATCGTGGGTGTACCTTAAAATAGCTGCCTGTTTTCTCGCCAATACAGTTCATTTCGTCATTCTAATTCAATCTTCAGTCAACAAACGAGAAATAACTGCTTTCCTACCTGGGGAAGGGTTGTGACCCTGAAGACTCAGACTCTGCTGCAGCAGATACTGACTCTGCGTGATCTGTAGCTGCTGTATGAGGCGTTGCTGTTGATGCGCCAATTGCTGGAGGGGTGCAGACGCCTTCTTCTTATCAGCGGTCTGTAGAAGATGCGTCTGCTGGATGACATTCAGCTGCAACTGTTCCTGCAGTTGCTGTATCGCATGTTCCAGCTTCTTCCTTCCCAGTTCCGCGAACTGGTGTTGATGCTGCAAACAATCCGTCGAAACGACCGTGTCAATTCTAGCTTATTTAAAGGACAACAATTCACGGAAAGATGAGGAAGTTCTTCTCATGGAAGAAATTACACGTTAAACAGAAAAGAGGAGAAAAGAAAAACGAGGGGAAAGTTGCATCTTGGCGTTGCTGAATAAATCTCAGACACGAATAAACTGGTAGAGAGGGAGGCAAGAAGAAGAAGAAGAAGAAGAAGAAGACAGGGGGCAGTTGATGGGTAGCCAGAAGACAAACAACGAGACACAACGGCTGATGGCGATGCTTAATTGCTTACCTCGTACTCTCTCTCTCCGTGTTTCATCCCCTGTCTTCCTCTAAGCCTGGAGGATATTTTAAAACAAACCCCCAACCTATAGTGGAGACGTCCCTTATCGTATCATAGTATAAACGAGAACTGCGCGATTAACGAGACAGAACAAGAGGTTTATTAAAGAGGGTTTTCCCTTTTTTTTTCTCTCTTCATTCGTTTATATTAGAACACGGGGGGGGGGGTGAAGAACGCGGAATGTGTTACCGCGATGACATCGATCAGAGAACATTAAATTCTCGGTAATTGAGATCGTCTTTCGCGCGAGCTCTCGCAATAATCTGTTCTAGTGGACTGTCTAAATTTGTAGAGTAAAGGATACCGGTCAGGCCATGCCGCTAAATAAATATTTGATACCTCCATCGAAGCTATCGGGCCTGTGTGTGCGAACCGACGATACGTATTTGCGTTCAAACGTCCTTTGTGCTGTTTACGGGGAAACGTGTAAGAATAATTCCAGAGGAGAAATTTGGAATTTCAACGGTTAAGATAAATTCGAGGATGTCTATTTGTAAAAAATTTACTTTTTGAGATACGATACAGCCGCGTGAACGCTAGAAACGCTTGTTTGCAGAGCATCGAAATTCCCAGGTCTACCGTTCGATTGGGTGATCCGCTGAGGCAGAATTTTTTGATAATAAAAAAAATTCCAAAACTGGATAGTTTTTTTTTTTATAGGAACAACCTGAGGTTAGAATATTCAGAAGTTGTAAATATTTTTGAAGGACACGATCACTCGAGATCGTGAAAATAGCTCGGAACGTTCTTTCAGCGATTGTTATCTCGGAAAGGTTGTTCTCGAATGTTTGTCCAAGTTCGCCAAAGGACGAGAGGAAAGAGGAAGAAGAATGTACTCCATCAAACGGACGCTTTTTATAATTAAAATTATCAATGGCCGACGGAGGGTGATAAAAGGCTGTCTGTTTACCCGGCAGAGTATCTGGAAGATGTTTAACTATGCCAAGATGCAATGCTTGCTCGATAAAAAGGACAAACTTCGCTAATGTACCCTGAAGGAGTGGCACAATAAACTCGGTGGAAAGAATCGAGCAACGAAACCCGAGATTTCTTCGTTGTCCAACAATGAAAAGATCCGAAGAATGGTATACTTACGTCTTTGAGGGACGAGAAGTAGCCGAATCGCTCCTGATTGGCCGCATGTTCCGACGCGGAGTCCTGAAAGAGTAAAATGAATTTGTTCGATAGAAGGCATTTCATTGCTAAAGTAAATTATTTGCCCGTGTTTGTGCACGGTGAATTTCTCGTTTCTAGACGATCTAAGTCTAACGATCGACTTACTTGATGGTGTTGCTGCTGTTGTTGCTGCAGGTAGAGCGAATGTTGCTGCATGAACGACTGCAGTTGCGTGGGGCTGAGTATGTGTTGCTGCAGCAGCTGTTGCATCTGATGGATGCCACTAGCCGGGCTGAGCATCGCCTGAGTGGGATTCTGAGAGAGTTGTGCCCCTGGTGGTCCTCCTTGCGGAGGGACCTGGGATGGATTCAACGGTGAACCCCTCTGAGGGGCTTGTGGACTCTGATGGGGACTCGGTTGGGGACCAGGCGCCCCTGAACTCGGCTGTTGCGATTGCTGCGTGATGATCGGTTGCTTTTCCTGGGTCATGGGTGCTGCTGTCACTGTGTGCCCAGCTGGACTGAGCTTTCCATTGCTCTGATACTCGATCGTTAACTCCTGTTGCTGCTGCTGTTGCTGTGCCTGTTGTTGCTCCGTAATACCGCCAGTTAGTTTGTTGCTTCGGCTGTTCTCACGGCTACGAATCGACATACGATCACGCTGCTCCCGATCCCTCGACGAAGGAAGAGTGTCGCGCGGTTGTTGCTGTTGCTGCTGCTGCTTCAGGGCTGCAAACAGCGAAGTAGCCTGCAATACGAAAACGGAGATCGAGAGCTCGATCAAAGTCGGTTGCGAGCTGTCTCTGATGTTTTTTTTTTTTTTAATGTATTATGGTATGTTTGAGAGACATTTTTCTGCTTTTAAATTTCCCGCGAAATTTGTTATTCTATGGAAATTTGATATGGTATAATTTCCTTGTGCTGTTGGTATTATTATTGTTAATTTTCTATCGTGGAAACTTCTTGGGAAGTAACGTTTCGCTGGTTAATAAGAGATAAAGGAGTTTCTGTTTTGGCGACACCGGTGCTTGTACAGAGCGAACCGCGAGATAACAAGGAGAACACCCAGCAGCGACGTTGCCGCAGAAGGGACGAAGAAGAAGAAGGCTGGGCGAGAACGAAAAGAGGGAACGAAGAAGCCCCCGGGCGGAATATTCATGATATAAATGCCGTGTAATGTGCTCGCGTTAAACTTCCAGCGTGTTTTGAGCAATATTGATCTTATCTAATGGTACTCGTACCAGAGACGTCTCGGTATCCTCCGTCATCATTGGCTGGGCTGAGGAGTACCGTAGGAAAACTCGCTGTTGTCTGAATCACGTCGACTTCGAGTCTCCATCTTCGTTGTTTACGCAGCGGGATTTGTTTTATTAAGTTCTATCATCAAGTAGATTGCCAAGTGTAAAGGAGGAACATTGTGTTACCGGTTCCCTTCTTCCGTTCTCTCTCTTTCTCGTCGAGTTTCTCGAAGCGAAATCTTTCGGAAGTATAGAACGGTAGAGAAGAAGTTAATTTCAAACCGGGAGAAATAATTATCCAAAAATTTCTACCGTTTCTTTGTTCTCACGGTGAAATACCTTTGTTTTAGCAAACAATGACATACGGTATTATCTTCTTTTCTTTTTTTTTTTTGCTCTTTTTTCAGATAATCGTGTTTGCTGAAACATCTCAAAAGACTTCGACCTGTTTGTAAATCGCCTTGAGACCTGTTTTCAATTCCTCGAAACGAGCAAACATGCCTCTGTCGTCGGATCTGCTCAGAATGCTTATTTCGAAAAGTTGTCAACGAGAAATCCAACGAAGCCCAGACCAAGAGACGCATAGCGAATCTTCAAAAGTCGCGTCGCGATCGAAGGTCGGAATTTGCTGGACCACACGCGCGCGCACACGCTTTTCGTCGAATCGCGTACAGACAGAGTGTTGGAGAGAGATAGAGATAGAGATAGAAAGAGAAAGAACGAGAGACAGAGACTCGTCAGAGATAAATTTAAAACGGATTCCTCTTCTGTGTGACTGTTCTCTCACTCTCACTCTCTTTCTCTCTGTCTCTCCTTTCACGTTCCCCTCTCTGCCGAAAGTCAGCCGAGGCGATTGTTTCTCCGAGCATGAAAAGCGTGTGTCTCTTACGGCGAATCCCGTCCGCCATCGAGTTCTATGCTAATCTTATTTGTGTACGATTACGTATGTTTATAACATGCAAAGAAAGTCCACGGGGGGGCGTTATCAGTGTTTAGTCAGGAGCGCGGAGGTTTCGTCTCCGAAGTTCGACCGTGGCGAAAGGAAAAAACCGCCTCGGTGGAAAAACACGGGAAATCCAATTCTCAGAAAAATTGCTCTGTCTGTGAGTTACTATGCCCTTAAAAATGACGAAACAGCAACGCTGCTGCGGCAACTGTCAGTCCTCGAAAATTCTCATTCTTCGCAGGGTGTTCCCCCGCTCGAACAACCTGTCTCGCGTCACAGTAGCTTAGACAGGTGCAGGTCAGACGCTAATCTCTCTCGTCGTTCCAACGAAGAAGGTTGGCTGGTGAAAATGTATCGAGGATAGAATTTTTTTCGAAACGTCCCGTAGGAACTACCCAGCCGCCTTGGAAAAAAAAACAATAAGAAACGATTGGAGAGTCCGGGCACAGGCGACAGTACCGTTTACTCAACGAAATTAATGAAAAGCAACGATCGGCAGGAGGTTTTAATCCACTTTAGCCAGAGACGCACCGCCCCGGCTAGATCGCGATCCTTTAATTCGCTAATTAATACCGAGACCGCCTCTTTCCTCTCTCTTTCTCTCTTTTACACTTTGTCCCAGCCGGCCAGGTTCGCTTCTAACGGGAAGAAACGAAGGAATCTTGAACCGGTCCAACGGCGTCGTGTCATCATCGCTGGGCAAGAGAAAGGGGTGGAAAAAATCGCGGATGGTGAACCGAGTCGAGGGTGGTTCATCAGTCCACGAGGAAAAAGGGGGCGGGAGGGAGGGGTGGGTGATGGTGGTAGAGGGAAACGACGATGAAGCTCGACGTGTGTACACGACCAGGGCCAAAGGAAAAAAATATAAGGGTACGGAAAGAATGAAAGTATAAGAGCCGACGTTGAAGGGCCATCGACTACAGATAAGAGGGACTCCTAAGACTCTTTTAAGAAAAGGTTAAATAAAGGTCGGGGAGCCGCGCTTGTTGTTGGCTGTTCAGATTCCTTCGACCCCTTTCCTCCCCTCCCTGGCCCACGGTAACGCCACTTATTTGAATCCCGAAGGCTCCTTCGACTTCAACCATCCCCTACCTCTGCCACGTTGGTCGTCTCGTCGCACCAGACCTTCATATCTTTTATATATTAGAATTTTCACCACACCAACCCCCTCCCTCCTTGCCCCCACAAGTTTCACCGTCTCTCTTGCTCTTTTTCCCTCTCTCTGTTTACTGTTTGGATTTATTCCAGCTCCCCTGACCTCTCACCCTGCCCCCGACAAAACCAGCTCCCGTTTCGAAACTACTGTGCACGCCTCGCTCTGTGTTACGTATATATGTAGGTGTATAAGTATACGAGTTCTCCCCGGTTTTCGTCTTTACACTTTCGATCCCCCCCCTTTGCATCGAGTCGCCCCCTTCGAGGCACCAGCTTCGTCTTCCGCCTCATCTGTCTTTGAAAAGCATCGAGAAACTATTTGTGGCTGAGCGTAAGAACGGTCCTGTCCTCGTGAGTCACGCGACAGTCTGACGCGTGTCTCGTGTTGTGGATGACAATGAAGAGGAATGTATTGTTTCTTTTTCAATCGAGAAATAATTTTGTTTTGTTTTTTGTGTGTGTATGAGTGTATAATGAAAAGGTAGAGGAAAGTGAATGGGGAAGGTGTGTTTCGGGTTTGGGACATAGGAAGTCGATTGATTCGTGATAGTTGGATGGAAATCGATAGGGTATCGCGGATGTTCGACTCGTTACATGGCCACCGGTGTGCCTCGAATGTTTATTTAGCGTCGTTTTGTACGCGCCAACTAAACTGCACACGCACAGAGATAAAGCAACCGGTCGGGACACTTGCTGCGAGAGGTAAAAAAAAAAAATACAGGGGGAAAAAAGAAGAGAGTGAGAGAGAGAGAGTTACCGGGGGAAAAAATTCGGCGATTTGCACTGTCGATCCGTTTATTCCACAAATCCGAATCGGATTTACCTTCTAGCTTTTCCTCGCATTCCATATTGAACATCCCTTTTCGGATCTGTTAACCGTGATATTTTCATAGCCGCGATACTCCATAGCGGGAATATTCTATTATGTATGTATTGATTAAAATTCCTGGCCGGATCTCTGTGCACGGGCGAGAGAGCTCGATGTTTGATTGATTTTTAACATCGTAATACCTATGCGTGAAACGCGGCTTTCCCCCGTTAAATTCTATCTTCGTATCGCAACGTTTTAATCGACGAAAAAGGAGGAATCCTCGTGTTTTCCGCATGACTTTTCCACTTTCCTATTTGTACCATTCCAAGTGACATTTGCCACTGATTTCGTCGTAGATTCTCTTCGATCGTCTCTAATTTTATTGTTGCGTAAAAATTATGGTACAACGAGCAGAAGAAAGGGGAGAAATTTCAAACACTTCTTGTTCCAAAAAGTTTAGAAAAAATTTGACGATAGAAGATAGAAGATCTGGCCTATTGATCGTACCCATGCGAGTAACGCGAAATAAGCATGATTAAGTCTGGAGCAATTTATCGAGACACGTTGAAGTCGCCTCTCGCCCCGGCAGCGGCGAAAATGGAACATCGCCCGGGGTACAAAACAAGGGTTGGCAAGGTGTCCCCGTCTCTCGTTTCGTATTCACGTCGAGGGCCAATCAGAGACGCGTCTCTTTACACCCGCCTCCTGTTGACGTTTGTCATAATATTTTAATATTAAATCGCGTTACGGCCAGCCATGCGTTCGCATAATCAGACGTTACTCCCTGGTCGCCGTTTATATACGACTGTAAGTCTCCTCGTTCGCGAGAGAGAACAGCCGCGCGTTGTGAACACGCGAGAAGAGAAAGAGAGAAACGGAAACAGGAGAGACGAAGGAGTAGTACTCGTCACCCCTCGCAGTTCCACGTGAAATGTGGAATACAAATTACTCCGAAAAGTCCCCTTTCCTAGCCCCGCTTTTCCTACACCACTCGCGTCGTACACACGCAGTCTCCCTATGAATTCCTCGAATAATCCAGAATTAGGGAAACTGCGCGTGTCTCTTTGGACGCTGATGAGTCTTCTGAAAGACGTTCTTCTTCCATCTCCTTCGTCCACTATCAACGATTACTTCACGTATATGTATATATGTATATATATATATCGTTCACAAAGTTCAGACACGTTCTGAAAATTCTCACCACTCCACCACGTTGATCTTCGAACAGATAAGAAATTGAAGCAAGGGTTGTAATACTGTAGCTGAATTCAGTTCCAACTCGAAGAGTAGAGGAAGTAGGATCCAGACGGAAAATAAGTGAATTGATCAGACACAGACGACTATTAATACGAAAATTTTCGACGGAGCATAGTGTAGACTGCGAATTCAGAGGGTAAAACGTGGACATCTAAATGGTCCAAGCGACTTGACGTCGCGTGTTCGAAAAGGATCCTGCAATATTGAGAGGAATTAACGATTCTGGGAACGTCTGGCGGACGAATCGGACCAGAGACTAGGAAGAGGACCATAGAAAAGAGAAAAGGGCGAGCAAGCCTGGTTAGGGAATGGGGTAGGTTTCCTGGGACGACTAGCTAGCC